CCAGTTGCACGCGCATTCACACACCCACACACCCACACACACACACAAGCACACAAGCACACATAACGCACCCACACGCCTCAAACCCTTAATACTTCTGTTACCTTCAGTTCATAAGTGTGACCAATTCAGGAGTGACCTTAAAACCAAAGCAACAATTTAACAGCCATGAGATCAAGAAGGATTCCTGGGAAGGGCGAAGAGACGGGAGGCTGAGGAAAACTCTTGTCCCTGCTTGGAGCTTTCAGGACGCCTCGCTAGCCTGTAGCAAGGCCAGCACGTGGGCCTGCCCGAGCTGTGTCTAGGCTGGCAGACACACGGCCCCTGGACCTCGCAAGTAGAAGTTCTGTACCCCCACCCCATTCCTGACCCTCCTTCCTCAGGTGAGTCCAGCAGGGAGAGTTCTGGGAGGCCACTGGGAGCTTTGGTGCAGGGGGTGGTCACCTCCGCCTGAGTTTGTCAGTAGCTCAATGCATGACCCTGGTATGAAGAAACTGGGTGACTGTGTCTGGCCACGTACCCTACCACCCACTAAACTGGGTGAATTATTGTTTCCACAGCTCACCTGGATTTCATACAGAAAATTCCATGCGGGGTTCATACATACATACATATATGTATGTGTATATATATATATACTTTATATATATGTAAATGTGTATGTCCATATGTACACATATACATATATTCACACTCTCTCACACACACACACATAAGTAGACATATGTTTCCGCAGAAAGAAGTCCTGCCACAATTTGGCTTTTTTGGGACAGTGAAATTGACAACGCAGTTTCTTATTCCACCAATCCCAGAAAATCAAGAGTGGTGCTTTAAAAACGCAATTCCAAAAACCACTGCCTTTCTTCCTTTTAAAAAAAAAGGTTAACAAAACATTTCTTCCAAAGTCGAGAGACTTAATTCCATTTGATTGCACCTCTGCAAAAACGTGTAAAAAATTCTGAAGTAGACTAGAAAACGATGCCATGATCCGGCTGCAGGTCACTGTTCCAACGTCACCACCTCCACAGCCTCGCCTCACAGGTGGTGTGCCCTGTCCGATATCCTGGTGGTCACAGGGGCCATGGCCACCTGCACTGGCCCATTGCCCTGGGCAAGGCTGGTTACCACAGTCTGGTACATGCTCACGGGGATCTGGACCAGGCCTGAGGAGACAAAGGGAAGATGGTTGGTGAGCTGGTGCGCAGTTCTCAGGGGTTATGCCAGGGTTATGTCCATCTGCCAGCCCCAGGCAATCACATACCCACTGTCCAGGCACAAATACATCTCTTTCCTTACTAATTATTTTAATTTTAGTTTTTATGTTTTTGCCATAGGGTACGTGCGCTCACTAGACAGAGATAGTGAGAGGGAAAGTGAGAAATCACCCCGTGGTGGAATGGCCACATCACAATCCCTTCTCTTCCATTCCCCTCTTAGGATTTTGGGTATGCATGCACATGTGCCCAATATGATTTTCAAGCTGCTGGGTCCAGGTCTTGAACTGTGGAGTTAACCATGTGATATCGAGCAAATTCACCGTGCTCCACCACCATTAATTTTTTTTTTTTGAGAGATTTTCACTATAGGGCGCGTGCGCTCGCCAGACAGACAGAGAGAGACATAGAGACAGAAAGCAAGAAATCACCCCCCAGGGGGGATGGTCACGCCGCAATCCCTTCTCCTCCATTCTCCTCTCGGGATCTTGGGCACGCACGCACACGCGCCCGGCGTGAGTTTTAAGCCACCGGGTCC